GTATGGTGTTAATGATGGAGCAAAAGCAGGGAGCCAATCCGCCTCGACACACAGCATTCACACCGGCTAATCACACCACTCAGTTACAGTAGCACAGCAGTAAAGCCACAGGCTAGCCCGTGGTGCTCATTTATATTGCGCTTACATCAACACACTTCCGTCATCCAATTACGGTAAAGGACGTCTTTCCTTTAACGACGGACTAACGCACGAGCAGATGATGACACTCTTCCCAAAGGTAGCTTTGGGTCGGCTGCTAAACTTAAGTCCTGTAGTGAGTCGAAGCCTGCCGTCACTGTCTCTTTCCAATGAAATTCAAGTAGTAACAATTAAATTGAGAGACAAAATAAAACCCTATTCTATGCAATTAGGGCACAGCACAAGTCCTGAAGCAATTTGAGTTTACAGCAGCCTCCATTTAAACTGAAATCTAATAGGATACTCGAGAAAAAAAGAGGGAATAAAAAGGATAGTGCATTAGCTGACACTTCAAGGGAAGGATTAACATTGTACACAATGTGGCTTGACTCAGCCCTAGTGTAACATTTCCATCTAAGACTTTAACCTGATTCATGTTCAACAGTCTGAAAAAGAAACAGTCTTGTCATATGTGCATATCCCAGTATCAGTTTGCACTTTCATATCGATTCAGAATTAGTTACAAAAAGCACAATATGTAAACATTGAGAGGAACAAAAATAAAATCAACCTCTATACATTGTACAAGCTGTTAGCTTAGATGGAATAGCCAAATATTTCAGTATCATGGCACCCCTTAAATGTCTTCATTGAGTTAGTACTTCAAATCTCAAGTAGGCCTAAACTACATACAAATGGCATTTGCTGGGAATTTCTTCGCAGCTTTTTAAATAATGGACATTTGCTAATCAAAAAGAGAAAGTAAATATATGCGTGTTGTGTGGTACATTTTTCATTTGTATAACACAGACCAGATAGGAATGGAAAAAAACAGTGCTGATATCATAAACTGAAGCTGTTATGACTGTTTTCTGGAAAGAAAAAATTATTCAAATAAACTAACTAAAATAAATAAATGCGTACAGCGTTTTCCAAAAGCTACTTATTTAAGCAATCTAAACTACTAAAATTAAAAGAAAAAAGTGGCACATGGGGGTTCAGCTTTGTGGTAGCCACATAAATCATTGTACTGGAAACATTCAGTAGATTGCTTGCAAGACTGAAACGGGACGGGAAGAGGGGGAATTTTTTTCCTTGCGCTCAGAATAACACTGACTAGCGTCAACTGGCCGCAGCTCATCTGTACCCTGGGTGGTGGATGTGCACATTTCTACTATCACCTGAATCTGTGGCCCTGCTGACTGATGCTCTACGCATCTTTGCCATTGTGCCAGGATTCTGCGCTCGGAAGCAGGGCGCCTGGAAGTCGCCACCCATGTACTCCATGGTCTGCATCAGGTTCGTCTGACTGGAAATGGCTGCCCCGGTCCTGTACTGTGCTCCGGGGGTGCAGTCTATGGAGGCCCCTGAGAGGCCCCCGTGGAACGGCCCCACCAGGTCTTGAGACCCTGAGCTGTCACTGTTTGGCTTGGGTAGGATGTTGTTCCAGGGAGGCTGCATGTAGTGGCCGTTACTGTAACTCATGTGCATCCCGTTGACCGGAGGAGATGGTGTTGGTTTATCAGTTGAGGGCTTCAAGTTGAAGGGCTGTGCCATGCACACCTCCTGCGGGTAGCCCATGTTCTTGGTGAGGAACCCCGGTCCAACTAGGGCCTCTCTAGGGAGATTCTTGCCCTGGTGAGCCGCTCCCACCGGAAGGTGCTGAAGGTGCGCCAACTGGTGTTGCCCCCAAGGGCCCTGCTGACGTTGTTGCTGGGGTAACTGTGGCTGGGATTGATGCTGCTTCATGTCATTGTGGTAAAGAGGCATCCTGTTCATGGCAGCGATGTCAAGCAGTGGCAGAGCGGGAGCTGGACCACCTTTATCAGCGTTACCAAGGATGCAAGAAGGTGGAGGACCCACACCGGGATGGGTGCACACCCGAGAGCTCGCATTGATGAGCTGGTTGCGGCTGATGGGACTGGGGTTGGCGATCTGTCCTTCACACATGGAGGTAGAGCCCATGCCGGCCCGAGCCTGGCAGAACTGGTTGATCTGATTGACGATGCTGCTCAGGTCACTGGGCCGGTTCTGGTGCAGGCTGGCAGCCATGGAAAGCGGGATGGTTGAGGTAGACACAGTCACATTGGGAGGGGCATCGGCGTCGGGTAGCTTGCGTGGCATCTGCAAGCCTGCCAGGGGGGGCTGTAAGACCCCGGGGGCCGGAGGGCCGGCGCAAGAGGCCTGTGGCATGGGCTGGGATTGAGAGAAGCCCTGGGAGTGCCGCAGGTGCACCGACTGCGCCATATCTGGCAGATGCCGGAGTCCTTGCGGACCAGGCAATTGTGGCTGCTGCTGCATGAGAGTCTGTTGGTGGTTTAGGGTGTGGTGCGGTACTGGCGGTTGGTGAGCCTGGCTCTGATGTAAAGCCTCCTGGTGGGCCAGGCTCTGCTGTGGTTGTAAACTGCTCTTCTGCTGCAGGGACTGCGGATGGGCCTGCAAGGCCTGAGAGTGAGCGAGACTCTTCTGGCCTAAAGGAGTCTGAAGGTGTGGAACAGTGTGAGGAACATTTAAAGTGCTGGGATTGGCGTAAAGCCCACTGTGCGGGTTCATGATGAGCTTAGGGAGAAAACGGGCTCGGCCGCCTTCGATGTCCTTGAGGATCCCTTTGACGGGGACTTTGACGATGGCCAAGAGGCCCGTCCGGGTGTTGACCTGAGGTGGGTAGGGGCTGTAGCGCTGGCTGGAGGTGTCGAGACCGTTGACGGTGCGGCGAATATGCTTCCTCTGAGGTACTTTGACACTATTGGGGAAGATTTTTATAGTCAGTGGGTTATTGGCAACTTCCTTAGCATAGGCATCCAAATCCGCTGGGGTAGGATAGTGTGCTGATCTCATCCTCTGTGTAGTGTCCCCTGTGAGCAAGAGAAGGCCAAATATGAAGGGTACTGCAGGAAATGTGGCGCAGATGTGATAATATAAAACTGCTTATCAGGGCTCTGATGGAGCAGGGTCAAGAGGCAGAGCTAACAAAGGGACAAACTAGGTCAAACGTACATGCAGTCTAATCAGAACAAAGCTCATTTCGGTTAAAGGCCATTTCTTACATTTCTGAAGTCCAGTGTTCATCTGCGTGTGCGAGAGAAGCTGGAGGGAGGGGTTTGATACCGGCAGACAGGCCAGCGTATCACAAGGAGACTAATGCAACATTGGACTCCCACTCCTCATCACACTGCAAAGGAAACAGTCACGTCAGGAACAAAAACGGATTCACATCATTCGGCTCTTAAAATACATGGTGTAAAAAATAAATATTGGCTATTTTCTCCTCCAAGGGTGTCATTAAAGAGATCCAATTTTACATGTAGATGTAGGTTTAATGGAACGCACTGCAATGGGAATTAATGAGAGTAATAAATTATTAGGAGGAAATTTCTAGTTTAATTAGTGGCGGTTTGCTGCAACACAGCAGCAGAAGAAGCAATAATCAGAACGCCTTAGATTAAAAGACTTGCAGATTGAAAACCAGCACACAGTGAATATCCCAACAAGCTAAGTAAGTAATATTGAGTAGAGCGTGCTAGTCAACAAATGACATGATTTACAGCCGGCCGCAAGAAAACGGCAATCGCAGAAGTGTACAAAGACCCTACCCTTGCTAATTCACCTGAACATCCATCAAACGCTGTAGCTATAGATCTCTGTAATTGCCTCATTGTAGCCATTTATTTAAATATCATGCATTCAAGCATGACCTTTTTAAATAGCTCTCTGAAACAGCTGGTGTCAAGGCCCACAGTGCACACCCTGCAGTTTGAGTGTCAGGAGTGCGATGCAAACGCATTCTCCCATCTGCCTGGCAGGTGCCCAGGGGCACGGCAGGGGATGCGGCAACACGACCACAGGCCACATGCTCCCAGCTGACTCCTCCAATCTGAGATGTGCAGGTGTCAAAAAGTGCAGTCAAGACAGAGCCTGACATGTTCTGCGCACCCAACCCCCAGCTATTTTCATCAGGGAGCTGCTTTAATTTTACACTGAAGGAGGTGTTATCAGCCGGAGCTTAGATTCACACTGCCTTAAACATCCTGGATTTGTTTAGAATCAAAGATGACCCAAGCTAGTCCTGTTATATCATCCCCAAAATGGCCAATGGATGGGGGAGTTGTTTATTTAGGTGGTGCTCTACAAAAAAAACCTTGAACTGGGTTCAATATCTAAACGAACTCACAGTTCACAGCTCTTACAAGCAAATACTTACATTTCAGCTGACACACATTTACGGTCTTAATTAAAAACAACAGAAGCTTTGGAAGAGCTGAGCTACATTGTGAAATCTCAAACACAATTAGCCAATCATAAAACCAAAGCACTTTGAGTTGAAAGTACAATTTGTGGTTGCCATTTCATCCACCCTATAATAAATCTGCTAGCCACCAAAGTTTGCTTAGCCACAAGCTACATGCATTACATTTATCTCAGATCAGCACAGACACACTTACACAATTTAGGGTCACTGTCGCACACATCTGCCCTGTAGATAAGATGTAGCCGGTTGGCTAAAGGTTTGTCGTGCTCATTTAACGCCCAGCTAACTATCAACCAATCTAAAAGGTGATCAGAGTGAGATCTCAGCCTGTCTTGGTACCTCTGTCTCTACACTTGCTACAACTACTAGCATATAGCCTGTGTCTTCTTCTTTGTGCGAGCCACTGCCGGCTTTCATCTCACAGCTTTTTAAAACCGCATTAAAATGACCGGATGGGAGGTGTCGAAAGCGAAACTTACTCTCTGGCTTCGGGATGAGACGTGTGATTGTTTAAAAGAGCATTTTGCTGGGTTATTCGGCACCTGTGCTCTGCTTGTGTCGATAAAGCGCTTGTCTAGTCACTGCTGCTGCCCAGTGCCCACTGCTGCAGCCCATATCCGCGCATGCGCAGTAAGCTTTTCTCACGTGTGTTCCTCGCTGAGGTCGAGGAAATGCGAAGGTAACTTGGGTTCAACGCGCCACCTACTGAATGGGAATTCTTCTTCGTCTTCTTTAAATTTTTATTGGCGGTTGGCAAACCAACTTAAAGGTGCATTTACCGCCACCTACTGGACTGGAGTGTGGGCAGTACTTTGAAAGAAAAGAGAGGAAAGGAAAAAAAAACAAACAAAAAAAAACAACCTTATATAAATATCCCCCCCCCCCCTATATATTCCTATTAAATTCTTTCACTTATCCCACTGAATGGGAATTACACTGGTTAAAATAATTTATATTATATTATATTATATTATATATAAAGAAAACAAAGACTAATTTTAAAACCCTTAATTTTTTTTTTTGCATTTTCAAAATCCAGAATCAGAATCAGAATGAGCTTTATTGCCAGGTATGTTTACACATACGAGGAATTTGATTTCGTGACAGAAGCTTCCACAGTGTAACAGAATGACAGTGACAGAACAAAAAACACAGATAATAAAAAATAAAAAAAATAAAAATAGAACGAGTAAATAAGGAATAAAAATATACAAATCGACAATTGTATGTACAGGTATATAACAATAGACAGTTGTATGTACAGGTATATTATGTGCAAATTGAAATGCAGACTGAGTATGTGTGTTAGATAAATAAGTGTACGAGTGAATAATAGACTCCAGACTCCTAATTTAATATTTTACACTATTGCATTAAAAATGGCTGTAATACAAATATTTTATTTATGTTTTTATGTCAAATGATTTTAAAAATGATTTTAAAAGCCTATTTCTAAGACCCTCAATATTTTATGTACCGTGACTCTATATTTGTCTCGATTGCATTAAAAATTACAGTAATACAAATATTTTTAATAAATTACATATTTTTTTGAATAAATCAAACCAATATGTAATTTGGATTTCTGTGTTTTATGTCACAATGCAAAACAAAAAAACAAAAACTTAGTAGTCCAGCCTTTTTCATCATCAATGTCATATCATGGTATACATATAAAAAAGTATAATGGTACCATTTGATACCATCAGTTCACTATAGTATTACCACAGTAAGTCTTTCTTTCTCAATGTAAAATGTATAAAAGCATAAAATCTACTCCTGAGGCCACTAAAATTAAAACATAAATGGCGACAGAATGGGAAAATACATTTAAAAGCTAACAAAATATGTGGATAAACATTTAAAAGCTAATAAAGCACAATATCACATGCACAACAAATAGAGTATATCCATGCAGCTCATCACCCTGTTGAAAAAACGAGCATATGCTGGTTAGGTATGTTTTGACACTGGGATGCTGGTTTAAGCTGGTCCTTTGCTGGTCCTTTTGCTGGTATATGCTGGTCATGTGCTGGCAAAGGACCAGCATAAGCCAGCAAATGACCAGCATAAACCAGCAAAAGGACCAGCACATGACCAGCATATACCAGCAAAAGGACCAGCACATGACCAGCATATACCAGCAAAAGGACCAGCACATGACCAGCATATACCAGCAAAAGGACCAGCACATGACCAGCATATACCAGCAAAAGGACCAGCACATGACCAGCATATACCAGCAAAAGGACCAGCACATGACCAGCATATACCAGCAAAAGGACCAGCACATGACCAGCATATACCAGCAAAAGGACCAGCACATGACCAGCATATACCAGCAAAAGGACCAGCACATGACCAGCATATACCAGCAAAAGGACCAGCACATGACCAGCATATACCAGCAAAAGGACCAGCACATGACCAGCATATACCAGCAAAAGGACCAGCACATGACCAGCATATACCAGCAAAAGGACCAGCACATGACCAGCATATACCAGCAAAAGGACCAGCACATGACCAGCATATACCAGCAAAAGGACCAGCAAAGGACCAGCTTAAACCAGCGTCAAAACATACCTAACCAGCATATGCTGTTTTTTTCAAAAGGGCAATAAAAGCACAATGAATATATACATGAATACAGTCAGCATTTACAGTAATCATGACAACACACAGTCTGTGTCTCAAAACCTAGTGAGCTGCCTACCTAGACAGCATCTTTGGCCCTCATATGCGCCTTCGAACGCTCAGACGTGCTGTCTAGGCAGGGAACTCGCTAGGTTTGACACCACAGCCATACAGTATCACGTATGTTACCACCCTTCCTTCCTGTGGCGGTGGGCAGGGTCGCCTGTGTTGACAAACATTTATTCTCTCACTAGGGCGGAGATTTTTTCATTTTGCGAGTCAAAAAGCTGCTAAATAAACGCTTTATTAAATATATAGGAATACACACGAAAGGATTATTGTTTGGTATTAAATGCAAGTATGGGTTGCTGCCTGACTGTTGGACCAAATGAAGCGCTCGTTGTGTCAGGTATCGTGATATATGTGTTTTACTAGAACTTGTAATATTAGGAGTTTAATATTTATATGCAATTATTGCATTCATTCGTTAATGAAGTGTGCATGTAAATGTTTGTTTTCACATGTACTGTTCACTGTGTGGTAAATAATATCATCCAGTCGTGTATTAGCTAGCTACAGCTAACAGTTACTACGTTAGCTCATCAGCTCTTCCGCATTTACACGAGTCATTCATAACTGTTGAAATTTTTTTTGTAATTTTAACTTATCTTAAGCGCAAACATATTCAATTACGAAACTCAGTGTTACAGGTATTTTCCTTTTTGTATCTTATGTTTGCTAGGTGCGTCCCGTTACACTTTAATAGTGATTTAATATTTGATAGCTCTTTACATTCATTCATAACTAAATATACTATTTTTATCGAAACGGCCACTTTGATGCTTAACAGTGATATGGTGATGCTACATTGTGCTGATTTCTTTAAAATGTTGAGAAATGGCAACGTGAAGTAACGTTACTGTGTTTATTTGACCCAGCAATTAATCTCCAGCGTTTAGATAGTATCAGATAACATTACCATATTTACATGGTATTCCAGGGTATCTCCAAGAAAATTATAATACTACCGTGGCACATTTGGTCCAAAAGACCAAAGAAAAATTATTATTAAAATATGCATAAAATATTATTTGAAAAATATTTTATTTGTATTATTTTATGTTTTTACTCACTATAGTATTGCACTGTCAGATATATTATTTATAAATATATTATTTATTTAAATACTTTAAAAACGTTTTAAAATATATATATATAAATATTCAGTTTTTGTGTAAACTAAATCAAGTAAAATGTACTTAAACATCAATTTTATTTCAGCTCGTTGCCAAGGCAAAATTTGTCATTTTCATTTAGTTTAACTTGATATTAAAATGACACAAAAATAACTACAACTTTTAAAGCTGAAATAAAAACCAATAAAAACTATATATACATATTTAAAACAACAACAACTAAAAAAATTACAAAACACAAAATTACTAAAAACTTTCAAAATATATACAAATAAAAAATAATAAAAATATGAATTAAATCTATAATAGTATTTCAATGATACTAAAACAACACTAATGGTAGTCAGAGTACCATGATATGACTTTTTAGTAAGGGCATCTTTCATAGCATCTTCTAGTTCACTTCATGTATTAATCACCATTGAACTCTGTTCACACAGATCCTATCCTTGTAATGTTTGACTGTGTCTTTTGAGATTATCACTGCAATCACAAGTGTTTTTTTCCCTTCTTCTAGGTGCCTGTTGTGGGTCAGACGCAAAGACATATGTGGTGGGAGGCTGGGCATGGGCATGGTGGCTTATATCAGACACACAGAGGTAATGCCAGTCAAATAAATGAGGATCACAGGATCACATTTCACTCTGCAGTGCAGTAAATGTAGTCAAAGTTCACTAAAACAACACACAGTCAATGTTTAGCTGTGACTATAATGCCTGACCTTAGAAAACTAAAAGGCACGCCTGGTCAGGTGTGTTTGTCAAACCAGTTTGGCTGTATAGAGGTCTTCAGAGATTGCTTTAAGAGATACTTTTATCATATTCATCTGTCGTTACTATTTCTGTTTACTTCTTAAATTTCCATGATCAGCTGAATTAGTTGATTTATGAGCTGATCTGATGCTTTTCTATCGAGCGTTTGCTTCATTCTTTCCCGTGAACATCTCTCAGATTGCATACTGAATTTCCTGTCAGCCACTGCCATTGTCTTTGCACTCTTGTCCCATTTTTTGAGTTCTGCAACGTTAACAAGATTTGGAAAATCAGGTTTTTCTTGCTTTAGGCATTGTTTAGTTATACTTAAAGGTTGTGTTTTCCCCCAGAATTACACTAGAGATTATGACACTACAGCCTAAGTGTGAAGACGTGGAGACAGCGGAGGGAGTCGCTATTACAGTTACAGGAGTTGCTCAAGTAAACACTCAGAGCTCATTTACTGTTGTTTTATCACATTTATTTTTTAGATTTTCCATCATTTGCATCATTATTGCAGTCATCATTGCAGCTTAGTATCAGTACATTGTTTTTGGGTCTTGAAAGTTATGGTATAGACTATCGTTCAAAAGTTTAGCCTTTTTTTGAAAGAAATGAATAATTTTATTGAATAATGTAATTTTTATACCGAAAATGACAGTAAATACATTAATAATGTTACAGATTTATATTTTAAATACTCAAAAATTCCTGAAAAAAAAAAGTATCACATTTATTAGATATATTAAGCAGCACAACTGTTTTCAACATGGATAATAATAAGTAATGTTTTGTGAGTAGCAAATCAGCTCATTAGAATGATTTCTGAAGGATCATGTGATACTCAAGCAATGTTATTTTAGTATCATTAAGATACTATTATAGTTTTTATGAATATTTTGAAATAGTTTTATTTTTAGTAATTTTGTTGTGTTTTTTGTCATTTTCATTAGTTTATGTTGTTTAAAAATAAATGTCTGTATAGTTTTTATTCAATTTTTTTTTTGTACCATTTTAGGATCAAGTTGAATACAAAAAAGGATAAATTTTGCATTGGAAAGTAGCTGAAATAGAATAAGTTAAAGTTTTGTTTTTATATTTTATTTTTAGTTTATTTTACTTAAAGTTTTAGTTAAAGTTAATTATAATAACCCTACACTGAACACTGGAATAATGGCTGCCTAAAATTTTGTAATGGCTCGAAACCTTTGAATGGTAGTACATTTTTAAACTTTTATTTCAAATTATTTTAGAAGAGTTCAAAAAGCAAAATGAAGGGCTGGTTTAACTCTTGCTTTGTGTTTTCATCAGGTCAAGGTTATGACTGACAAAGACTTGCTGGCTGTTGCCTGTGAGCAGTTTCTGGGAAAGTCTGTCATGGAAATCAAGGCTGTGGTCCTGCAAACCCTGGAGGGACATTTGCGTTCTATCTTAGGTTAATAGATAACTAACAATTCCAGTAGCCTCATTAAAATACAGTGCTTATGTGTGTGATTCTATGAAGCTGATGTTCTGTTGCTGTTCTTACGACAGGCACTTTGACAGTGGAGCAGATCTACCAGGACAGAGATGAGTTCGCTCGGCTGGTGAGGGAGGTGGCAGCTCCTGATGTGGGCCGGATGGGCATTGAGATCCTCAGCTTCACCATAAAAGTAAGATGTGTGTGTTTCTTAATGCAAAATCATGCGCATGGACAAGGTGTAGAAGTGACCCGCCTCCATTCTAGACCTCAGTATGACACCTTCAGCCAGTATACATGTATAAATCAAGGGGTGACAGATAGATGTCTTATATAATAGTAATAATATTAATACAAAAATAATATTATAGTTAGTGCTGTCAAATCAATGAATTGCATCCAAAATAAATGTGTATATTTATAGGTATACAGTATATAAATACACACACAGACATGTATATATTTAAGAAATACATATAATATATTTATATATAGTATAAATCAATATGAATACATATACATGTAAATATTTCTTAAATATGTACATGTATGTGTGTGTATTTATTTATACATAAAATATACACAGTACACATATTATGTAAACAGACTTTTATTTTGGATGCGATTAATGGATTTGACAGCACTACTTATAGTATTTCTTAATATTTTAAATTAGCTTTTATTTTTTATTTCATTTATTTAAATTTAAATTTGTTTATTTCATTTCTATTTTATTTAGTCATAATTAATTTACTTATTAAATTAATTTGAGTAATTGTAGTAGTAAAATTGTTAGTAAAAGTAATTATGTGCTTTTGTCATTTTTGTGTGTGTTTAGTTTTAGTAATTTTAGTACTTAAACTTACTTGATTTCACTTAGTTGCCAAGGCAACATTTCTCATTTTCATTGACTAATTTTAAAGTTTTTACATTTTTCATATTTAATATTTTATTTTATTTCATCTTTATTTCAATTAATGAATTTATAAAAATCGTTTTAGTTAACAACCCACACAACATTTCACATCATTTTATGATATATTTCATATCATTTTAAGTCATAATTAAATATTATAATTAAAATAATAATAAATAAACATTAAAATGTAATAAAAAATATTGACTTGTTTTTTCTTTACAGGATGTCTATGATAAGCTGGACTACCTGAGCTCTCTTGGAAAAACTCAGACAGCGGCTGTACAAAGGGACGCTGACATCGGAGTGGCGGAGGCAGAGAGGGATGCTGGGATTAGAGTAAGAGACTTCAGGCTTCACTGTTTTTATTGCTAATGCATTATCCATTAGATGTGTGGCATTCATTAGCTTCCGTTTTCTCCCTCCTCCCTGATCAGGAAGCTGAGTGCAAGAAAGAAATGATGGATGTGAAGTTCTTGGCCGACACTAAAATGGCCGACTCCAAGCGAGAGCTGGAGCTGCAGAAAGCTGCTTTCAATCAAGAAGTGAACACTAAGGTTGGATTCAATTTCATTTCAATCCAGGGCCATCATTTTAAATCACAGTCATCTTGTTAGCTGGCCGGATGTGAGCTTATACATTCACATTTATCAGTCTCAGATGAGAGTGATAGTAATCATGTGATATGTGTCTCTCTTCTACACAGAAAGCAGAGTCTCAGCTGGCCTATGAACTACAGGCAGCTAAAGAGCAGCAGAAGATCAGATTGGAGGAGATCGAAATCGAGGTTGTGCAGAGGAAAAAGCAGATCTCCATTGAGGAGAAAGAAATTGAGAGGACAGAGAAGGAGCTGATTGCGACGGTCAAGCGTCCTGCTGAAGACACAAGTGAGTGTGGCTATCTATCTATCTATCTATTAGGGGTGTAACGATACACGTATTCATATTTGCCATATTATTTTTATTTGTTTTATAACAACAACAAACAAACAACATGACCCAACTTTTTTCAAGGTTTAAAACGGAGACCATCTCCACATGCCATTTCTGAAAACATGGGGGAGCAGTGGCTTTCCAATCCCTTAATATAATTCTCTTGGCCACAACCATGCCCAACATTAATGCCAACTGCAAATGATAAGGCAAAGAGGTGTTCTTTAAAGGAACACTCAAATTGGCTAATAGTAAAGCAGGGAGAGAACTTTTGTTTACAGAATGAGATTCCATAAGAATCCAGCTAGGAGTATGCGCCACCCTCTGATCAGAACAAGGCGAGCCATGATTCCAATACATCAAAGCCCTAACATTTGCTGCCCAAAAGTAATGTTGAAAAACTGGCATTGCCAATCCACCCAGCTCTTTAGATTTTTCTAAATGAGCCTTAAAGATGCGATGTGCCTTAAAGCCCCAAATAAAAGAGAAAATTATAGAATCTAGGTTTCTAAAGAAAGATTTTGTCAGATAGATTGGCAAATTCTGAAACAAATATAAAAACCTTGGAAGGGCCACCATTTTTATAGCATTAACACGGCCAATTAGGGACACTGGCAAGACCCTCCATTTTTCAGTGGTAGATTTCAGGCTCTTTATTGCAGCCATAAAATGAAGCTTAAAATGTCTTTTGGATCTGTGGGAATAACCAAACCTAAATAAGTAAAATGATCATGAACAATACACGTATTCGTATTGAACCGTTTGGTACGAGGCTTTCGGTTCGGTACGCATTACAAACCGAATGATTCGTTGGACTAATCCTATTACAGCATATTATTTTAGTAGGTTAGATTAGTGCGAGTGCACATTTAGAGTGCGTTCTTTCACTGCAGGATTTGGTCTATTAAAATGCATTTAGAATGATCACAAATTCAAGATATGGGGGCAGAAAATTTATATATTTACATCATTTCATATAGTTAATATCACAGAAGAGTGCCGTTTTTTTCTCTCCAAAAATCAGCATGAGTACAAATGTTCAATAAACAAGAAGTTAATTAATAGACTTACGTTTTAGACAGCATATTGCCTGTTTTTGCTCGATTTTGCCAGCAAAAATAGTTCCAAACACAGCCACTGCACTGTTTTGCGTCTCTGAGCAACATGATGGTGTTTCAAATGAATCAACCATTTAAAGGATTCGGTTCAGTTGCAATGACTCACTTATTAACAGTGACTTGCTGCCACCTACTGGCGGGTTTAATTTCACATTTAAAATATCTTTTAATTTTTTAATTAATTTCAAACATCAGTTGTCAACGTTTTATGTTTAAAATATCAAAACATTATTTATGCATTTGTAACTGCAGGTTAAAGCATTACATGTCCCTCTGAGCTGCATTAAACAGTGTGTGAAAGCATCTAAATGCCATTCAGATGCAACTTCTGTGTTTCCTCTGCATTGCAAAGATTATCTATCTATCTATCTATCTACACTGCTCAAAAAAATTAAAGGAACACTTTGAAAACACATCAGATCTCAATGGAGAAAAATATCATGCTGGATATCTGTACTGATATGGACTGCGTAATGAGTTAGGAACGAAAGGATGCCACATCGTTTAATGGCAATTAAATTATCAACCTACAGAGGGCTGAATTCAAAGACACCCCGAAAATCAAAGTGAAAAAATGATGCAGCAGGCTAGTCCATTTTGCTGAAATTTAATTGCAGCAACACAAAATGGTACTCAGTAGTTTGTATGTCCTCCATGTGCTTGTATGCATGCCTGACAACGTCGGGGCATGCTCCTAATGAGACGACGGATGGTGTCCTGGGGTGTTTCCTCCCAGATCTGGACCAGGGCATCACTGAGCTCCTGGACAGTCTGAGGTGCAACCTGGCGGCGTCGGATGGACCGAAACATAATGTCCCGTTGCCGGGCAGTGAGCACAGGGCCCACTAGAGGACATCGGGCCTTAAATGGTATCAGTTCCTTAATCCTCCAGGAACTGCCTGCATACTCTCACCACATGAGGCCGGGCATTGTCGTGCACCAGGAGGAACCCAGCCAGGACCCACTGCACCAGCGTAGGGTCTGACAGTGGGTCCAAGGATTTCATCCCGATACCTAATGGCAGTCAGGGTGCCATTGTTTAGCCTGTAGAGGTCTGTGCGTCCCTCCATGGATATGCCTCCCCAGACCATCACTGACCCACCACCAAACCGGTCATGCTGAACGATGTTACAGGCAGCATAACGTTCTCCACGGCTTCTCCAGACCCCAGTGGCGGACCTGCCAATTCTGGTGTTCAATGGCAAATGCCATGCAAAACTAGTGAAAAACAGTCAAAAAAGATGAGTAGGGGAAGATCTATCTATCTATCTATCTGTCTGTCTGTCTGTCTGTCCTATCTATCATCTAAATATATGAATATTTTAGTACATTACAATAATGTTTTATTATAATGTTATATGTATTAATTATTTTTAAGTAAAGTTATTAATAATAAAATAATACATTTATTAAAACAATAAAGTCAGAAAATAGACATTATAAATAAATAAAATAAAATATAAATGATCAACTAAATATATTAAACATTTTAATATATAAAAAAATATATAGTATATATAAAAAAAAAAATATATATATATAACATACATTTTGCTTGGAGGAAAGGAAAAAGTTTTTTTTTTCGTGCAAAAACGTTCACTGAAATATTGTGGCACTGCACTTTTAAAGAGAATAACAAATTAAACACCACTGAGGTTAACGGAAAGTACAAAACACTCGGGAGACAATATGATCATGAGAAATTCGGTGGGGATATTATTATTATAAAAATGTTATTTAACATGGACATCACAGTTACATTGGACAAACCATATGCACTTGCTTAAGTGTTTTAGCACACATGCTAATTTTCAACACTAGTCCACGGGAGGCTTTTCAGAAATAAAAAAAAATAATAAATAAAAGTAAATTAATAAAATAAAACCAATAACAATACTAATAATAACAACAATGTTAACAATAAAAGTAATAATAACAATACTAATAAAAAATAAAAAAAGGGAAAAAGAAAAAAAATATACCATAAAATTACAAAAAGAAGGAACAATACATTAAATTACTTACATAAGCTATAAAGCAAAGACAACATAATCAGTCAATATTATGTTAATATACTAATATAAGTTAATATACTTAAAAGTATTTAAAAAAATGGCAGTGGCTATTTGCACTAAGTGTAAATAGCGATAGAGGCTATTAATACTAAGTGAAAATAGCATATTTTCTTAGCGATAGATGCTATTTACACTAAGTGCAAATAGTGATGGATTCTATATACACTATGTTAAAATAGCAGGATTTTCTAATATTTATACTACTTATTGCAAATTGTGGCAATTATCTGCACCTCAGTATTAAAGCACATTATAAAACAGGATGCAGTAATAACGTTTTGAGTGTAAATTATAATTTTAATTCAAATTATTAAATGGATGCCACCTTATTGGGACAATAAAGCCCTCCCTACACCTACCCTAACCCTACCCGATACTTTATTTTCAACTTTTAGATTTTTTCCTTAATTTTTATTGAAAATAAATGCCTTACCGATGTGATATGAGATTTGAAAAGGGAGTAAAAAAAGTTCTGTAAAAGGTGGATTTGAACCCGGGTCGATCGCATCAAATAGACTACGGTACGCGCTTTACCATCTATGCCACTGAATCTGACGATTGTCTGCCGTCTTTTATAGTGTTGACCATCCCTATCACACGTTTGTGGGTGGAGCTAGTGTAAATAGCCTCTGCCAACAAGGCGGGCTATTGGCACTTAATGTAAATAGACACTCCGTTAAAAAATATAATTGCTTTTTTATTGTTTGATTTTGAGGTGAAATACGATCTCAGCATGTTGTTGTGTAACCATGATAAAGTGCATTGCTAGTTGATGGATTGTCCCTTGTGGGATTTGAACCTGCAATCTTTTAGTGTCCATCTGTGCTTCTCTTCTACTTTTAGAATAATGTTTCACAGATGTGGCACAGATGTTAATCATGTATCCATTATGTATCTGAGGAACAGATCTGTGACACACACCAAGATGAATTGTGCTATATTCGTGACACTGAACAGGTTGAAGAAAGTGCTGATTGCTCAGGCTGAGGCAGAGAAGATCAGGAAGGTCGGAGAGGCGGAGGCCATCTCTATCTCATCCGTGGGGAAGGCCGAGGCTGAGAGAATGAGGCTGAAGGCAGAGGCCTACCAGCAGTACGGAGAGGCCGCCAAGACTGCGCTCGTCCTGGAAGCACTTCCCAAGGTGAATTAACATTTCTCATATGTTATTTGGAATACCTTGATAGAGATCACCACTGGAATTGTACATGGGTATTGTAGGATGGGCCTGGATTTCATATTTTGATTGTCTAATGTCCATCACCTACAGATCGCTGGAAAGGTAGCAGCTCCTCTGGCCAGGACCAATGAGATTGTTATTCTGAGTGGGGATGGCAGCCGCGTGACCGGGGAGGTGAACCGTCTCCTCGCTGAGCTGCCTGTGTCTGTTAATGCACTCACGGGTGTGGACCTGTCCAAGGTGAGACTGGCCATTAAATCAAATGATTAGGACACAAAACATTGAAGTTAATCATGCATTTGTGGTGTGGGACATTTTTGGCCAGATGTTTTACAGTGTTAGATGGGCAATTCATTCAAAATATACATTAAAATGCACACTAATCAGTCAGTAATTAATGAAATATTTTTTTATTTATAAATTCGGCCAATCACAAAGCACTAGATAGCTGGCCAATCAGAGCACACCTCGCATTTCAGAACGATGAGCTTTGTAAAAATCTACTTGTTTCAGAATGGCGGGGCATAGAGGAGAAACAATAATGTACAGTATGTGGAAAATAATGTGTTTTTTGAACCTTAAACCACATAAACACATTTTATTACACAAAATAATGTTATTTTTTAGCAATGTCATATGACCCCTTTAATAAACTGAATGTTTAAAAATCTCTAATATGATTATATATTTTGCAAATCAGGCTAAAAATGCAGTTCCATTCCTACATCCACCATATATAGAATATTTTTGTATGATATGTCATATGAAATATCTACTTGATGTGTCTCTACTTTCACAGATCCCTCTGTTGCAGAAGATGACAGGTGCTCAAGCATGAAGTCAATCAGTTGCATCTCCTCCATGATATGTTGTATGCACTCACAGAAACTGCCTTTAGAAGACTTGGAAATCTTTTTTTTTTTTTTTTTTTTATTAAAAAAACAAAAACAAGTAGATTTTTGATACCTCTGGTGCCTTAATGTTTCATAGGACCAGAATATCTGCATGCACTGCTGCTCTCTCATTCCGCTGGAGTCATTGTACATCACAGACGTCAGAGACCATTAGAACAATCAGTATTGTTTTTTGTTTTGTTATAGATTTTTGTAGTGTCAGCATACAAAATTCAACACTTTTTCTTTACTATTTTATACACTTTTATCTTTACACTACACAGACACTTTAACACTCAATGGTGAGTCCGCTTCAGTTTAGATTACAATCAAATCTTTTTATCCATCCAAAGTCAAGCACTACTTCTTCATTCATATTAAATCATATTTCTAGCTACAAAGAGGTGACGTTACCTTACAGATCCTGCCATGATTTCTAACATTCAGGAAGACTGCCACTGATGTGAGTAGCATTCAGGATACTAAGCTCTTGGGCAAAAGCACTGCCTTACGGGTAAATATCAGTGTCATCGTAGAATCAAGCCAAGTGCTCCTCTTCTTTTTAAATGTTGCTGACACATAAATAGACATGGCCTTTATAAACCCAGCCATCTAACTTACATCAATAGTTCAGATCAATCTTTTTGCTTGTACATTTTTAAGATCATTGGATTATATGTATGCTTTGTTTTGTTTAATTTATATTATTGGACAAAATTGTTTTTTTTTTTAAATTTAGTTCTGGAGAGATTTATCAAACTCTGAAACATGTCTGGATATCCAACCAATCCAGTGCTGTTAATATAGTTTCATGACAACAGAGTTGAGCCATTTTTGTATAGTTGTATGACAGCCATGCCTAACAAAATCTTTTTAAATATTAACACAAGTTACATAAGATACTGCAATATCTGTCATGAGATGAATTGAAATCACCATTTATGGACAATAATGTTCTGTTTTGTAGTGGTTTATCTAGATGGTGTAGTCTTTTGTCACTGTGAAAGTTTATTACCTCGTTTTCCTCATTCGGTTCAGAGCGGGTGGCGGTTTGCAGTAGAGTTTGACATGTTTGTACATTTATTCTGCTGTGTTTAGTAGTGCTGTGAAGGGGCAAAGTCACTTTTCCTTGTGTTTATTCGACATGCTAATGAAAACACCAAATGATAAAGCCAGGAGATCACACTCCTCTTTGTGATATATAGATTTTAATCATAGTTTGTATCTGTTTACCGTCCATTTTAATTAAATCTTTATAAAACTGATTTATTTATTTTGTTTTAGCATGGGTAATAGGCCCCTGAAACCTTTGTATTCTCATAGAAACAGAATCAGGTTTTTTTTTGTGAAACACTCTATGTTTGATTCATTCATAACTATTAAAGCCATGTCAGGTTTAGCCATTTAGCATTAGCGCATCATAGACTGTTTATGTGCTTTGTATGGCATTGGTAATGTACTATACTGTGTATTGGACAAACATTATAGGAACCATAGAACTGTATGACAGGACAAAGATTTAGTGGGTCACACAAACTAACCCCAATATGCCATTGTCGATACGGGGAGAATTTGGTAGTTTTATACATGCTCTTTACACAGATATATAACGGCATGTTTATGGTGCATGTATGTAATTCCAAATGTAATAAATGTAATGTGACCCTGTCTCTGGCGATGGGCTTTCATTCCATTAAAATGCTCATATAAACTGTGTCAACTTTATGTAATTAAAGTCTCCTTTGTCGAATAAGAATTATTGAAGACACGAATCACTTGCCTTGCAGAGGTTGTTTGTTACGAAACACTGACACCGTGTGGTTAAGATGTGCGGTGCAGGATTGCTCTTTAATCATCAAACAACCGTGAAATCACAAATGGCGTCTTTTAGCTTAAAAATATATACGTTGGCAGTACTCTTTCCCAGCGTTATATCTGAGTACAAAAGAAAAGCGACCAAAAAGAGTGTGAATCAGACAGCGCTGCTCCGAAAGTCCAATATCACAGGTAGGATCGTTCACATCTTTGTCCCGAAGCATTGTAAAAACGCGGGCCTCAAGTTTTAAAAGAAGTTCAACTATTAATCGTTGTGCTGTACTGAAATTTGGTGAAATGTATTTAATTTGGTGCTCCCAGTCAAAAATGACTTCCAAAAATCACTCGTAAATCTCTCATTGTGCTATGTTATCACCAAATCTTGGATTCAATCTTTTTGTCAACTTGCGTTCATTAAATTAGCACAAGTTTTGTATTGCTGTTTGGAGCTTATGCGCCTCGGCTTTTGAGTTAAAAGCATTATTTGTGGGTAATTGTAATTTTGGGTTAAAAACACATTTCAAGACCTTGCAGTGTTTTGTATAGAAGCTTATTACTTAAGTTATGACTTTTAATCTCACAAATCTGAGTTTATATCTCAGAGTTCTGACTTTGTTTTCTAAGATACAAAAACAGAATTGTGAGATATAAACTAGTAATTCTGAGAAAAAAAGTCATGCAAAGTGCACGTTCCTACATACAGCCTAATGTTTGAGTCATACCCACGAGCACATGGGCTACTCGTTGGCCTGTAGAAAGTCTTTTTTTATTTCAATATAAAGCACTATTTAAAATGCAGAGCCTCATTTTCATGTTACCATCCATCATCATTACACTTTAATGCGTTAAAATAATGGATTAAAAACAAATCTAATTGACTATTCTTTGTAGCCTACTTTCTAAAATATTTCATACCTCGGTGCCTTTTTCTGGTTTTAGGTGGGTTTTGGTGGACCGGATAAAACAGCAAAAACCAAGTTTACAATGTGTTTAGAAATTAGCAGCTAATCTTAATACATCAATTTCTAAGGCCTCTAAATTATCAACATGGTCAACTTCTACAGTGGAAAGAAAAAAGTAAGTGAACTATTTACAATTTCCTGGTTTTCTGCTTAAATTGGTCATCATGAAATGTGGTCTTCACCAAAGTCACAAATATCAACAAACACAATATTTCTAAGCTGATAAACACAAACAGTCATGATCTTTCATGTCTTTATTGAACACACCCATTAAACACACAAAGTGATGGTGGAAAAAGTAAGTGAAACAGTGCTTTAATAACTGGTTGAACCACCTTTGGCAGCAATAACCTCAAGCAACCGCTTCATGTAGCTCTTAGACCTAAGTCTAGGAGTAATTTTGGACCATTCTTCTTCAGCTCACGTCTGCTGTGAATGGCTCTCTTGAGGTCTTTCCACAGCATCTCTATTGGGTTGATGTCTGGGCTTGACTGGGCCACTCCAAATGGTGGATTTTATGTCTTTGAAGCCATTCTGCAGTAGATTTACTTCAATCTTTAGGGTTATTATCCTGCTGCATCACCAACTTCTTTTGCGCTTCAGCTTGCGGACAGCCACCTTGAGATTATCCTGTAGGATATCCTGATAAACTTGGGAATTCATTTTCCCCTCCACAATGGCAAGCGGTCCATGTCCAGAGGCAGCAAAGCAGACCCAAATCATGATGCTCCCTCCACCATACTTCACTGTTGGGATAATGTTTTCATGTTGCTACGCTGTTTTCTTTTTACGCCATAAATAGCACTGCATGTTCTTCCTAAAGACATTTTCCCAGTAGTGTTGTGGAGTGTCAAGGTGGTCTTTGGCAAACTTTAGGCATGCTGCAAAGTTTTGTTTGGAGAGCAATGGCTTCCTTCGTGGTGTTCTTCCATGGATACCATGCCTGTTCAATGTTTTACGTATGGTTGACGCATGAACGGAGATGTTAACCAGCTTCAATGAATCCTTCAAGTCTTGCTGTTATTCTAGGGTTCTTTTTCACCTCATTGAGCATTCTGCATTGTACCTTTGGAGAGATCTTTGCCCACTTTATGGAAAGTAGCCACAGTACCATATCGTCTCCATAGTTGACTGATGAATATCTAAAGTCTTTGAGATTACTCTGTAACCTTTTCCAGCAATATACATATCAACAACTCTTGATCGTAGGTCTTCTGAGATGTCTTTTTTTGCGAGGCATGGCTCACAGCAGCTAATGATGTTTGTGAATAGCACACTGACGCTGTTTGGGTGTTTATATAAGTCTGTTTAGCTCTAAACCACACCTTTATTCTCATTTAATTGATTGGACTCTTGGTTTGATAACATCTGCCTCCAGTTGGCATTTAGTGACACCAGAAGCCAAGTGTTTCGCTTACCTTTTCCACCATCACTTTGTATGTTTAATGAGTGTGCTCAATAAAGACACGAAAGATGATTCTTTGCATTTTATGAGCTTAGAAATATTGTGTTTGTTGATATTTGTGACTTTGGTGAAAATCAAATCAAATTTCATGACCAGTATATGCAGAAAACCAAAAAAATTGAAAATTGTTAAATTACTTTTTCTTGCAAATGTACATGCCATCTGTCATCTGACTGAATTAATTAATTAATTTATTTGTTTATTTATGTTTAACATGTAAAAGTACAATTTTGCTGTGAAATCTAATTATTTTTTAAAGTAAATGTAGGAATAATTTGAATTGTTATTAAAACTGTAATGAATATTTCAAGATAAACACTTACCAGACTGAAATAACATAGGTTTACTTAATTATCCATACATAATTTTTTAGAAAAATCATGCTAAAATATGAGCATCAAATATGATGCATCTGATGCATCATATTTCATATCCAAATGAGTAACTGAATCTCATAGCAGGGCATTAAAGAGATCCATGTGATGACGTTTCTGGAGCAGATTGTGTGGAATAAAATGAAATCTCCAGAGAAACACATCATATTTAACTCCTCTTAAAGCACATGGGGCCGCTGTCCAGCATCAGGTGTCTAAGCTTCATAATAGCATCAAGCTTTGTGTAATATAAGCATGCAACAGAACTAATTAAGTGCAAAACACATTTAACAGCTTTTCCATCATTATGAGAACACAGGAGTATTTCAACAATCTAGTATTTTTTTCTGCTGGGTGACTATAGTCTTTACTGTTTAAGACATTCAATGCACATGAAACATTCTGCGTAATTAAGCCTAAATGCTTAAATGTCAGCTTTTT